ATCGCGTCTATGTCGAACAAGATGTTCGCGTCCTTGCCTTCCAAATCCGCCTTCGCGTTGCCCTTATCGTCGAGTCCAATATGCTTCGACCTTTCATCATACGTCTCCCATTCCTTCTTCTCAGCGAGTTTCTTCCTGCTACCAAAGAGACCACCGAACCGCTTCTTCTCCGGCTTCTCCTCTAGCTGCTTGCGTGCCTCCTCTATCTCGTTGATGAGTTCGCGTTGTCGCTCCGCATGGTTGTCCGGGTCCGGATCCTCAATTTCTGTGAATTCTTCGCTCTCGATAATCCAGCCCACCTTCTCCAGTAACCGAGGCATGGCCGTACGATACGCCATATGACCTGGCACTAGCTCCGTCACATTGTGGTTTTCGATACCTGGTATCTCGACCGGTGCAATGCCGGCTACGCGCATGATGCCACCGCTCGTGGCGCGGAACAGATATCCTACAAACACGGTGAGTATCTTATTTCAATAACTTAAGCCAGTTTTCCAAGCAGCCCTACCCAAAATCCAGTCATTGGTCGCGTAGCCGTTGACGAAACGGCCGGGAACTATCGACTTAGCGCGGAGGTACTCGTCCTTCTTGGCCACAATGGGTGAGCCAAACATGTAGACGTTCTGAACAAGGCCGAACGCGCCCTTGTTCGCCAGCTCCCGCAAGCAATAGAAGATGACGCGCGCCCCGAGAGAAAAGCCGACGAGCGTAATGGGACGGGTCCCAAGGTTGCGGTCGATCAGCGAGTCAGCCAGGATGAGACCAGCCAGTTCTGCTCGAGCCAACGAGACAGTCCACGGATTGTCGATAAGGTACGAGAGCTTGGTCAGCACGATGGGGAGCTGCAATGCAGACATCAAGCCGACTAGAATGGTGCTGCCGAGGATTTGTTGCAGACCTTGCGTCAGAGCCTGCAAGTTTTCGTCAGAAGATCAGTTCTATCACAATTTGTCAATGAATAGACATACCTCAGTTGCCAGAATGTTGATCGTAGCACCCATACTCTGCAACATCTCCGGCTCCCACAGAACCGAATAAATGTCACCCATTATGGGATCCACCGTACTGTACGGTAGACGGACATCGTCGACCTTGCCATTCATCCACCCTGAAACCGTAACAATGAGATTTACTCGCTTGTTATTATGCAACGGTCTGTACTCAAACGTCTTCACAGCGCCCGTCCTTCTGTGCGATGCCCTTACTCCAATCGTCCCTCCCGTGACCACGCCCGTGGTAGTGATAATCGCCGCACCGCCTGCGCCCGCCAAAAATCCACCCGTGCCCGCGATCCCAAACGTCGAAAATCCTGCCGCCAGGCCGGCTCCGATCAGAGGTGCAGCTAAACCGGCCGACAAGCCAATAACTAGGCCACCTCCGACGGTCGCGAGACCCATCATGACCATTCGTTTCGTTTTAGCAGCCTTGCGCCTCCTCTCCATATGCTCTTCCTCGTTCCAATTCTCCTTATCAGCTGCCTCCTGCATTTCGAGGGCATCCGTGACGCGTTTCTCAAAGCGGCAAAGTTCGAGCCAGGGCAGGTCCATGAAACCGGCCACGCGCTCAAGCAGTTGGCGCGATCGCGCGTCGTAGATCTGATCCGCGATGAGCAGAAGGAAGAGGTCACATAGGACCGTCCATCGAAGGTCGATGTCGATGTTGCGCGTGTGAGGTAGCTCCGAAGGGGACTGCGCGGGCGGCTGGTTGGGACCTTCCCCTTGGTGTTCATCGTATGGTGGTGGCGACGGCGACGGGCATTCGCTCCGCGGCCGCTTCTCGTCCACGCTAAGTTTGTCAACGCTGAGCTTGGAGGACGATACAGACTGCCGACTCGAGGCTACTTCCTCGGCCATGGGGTTCCGCACACGCGCGTTCTGCATGAGCGCCGGGGTCAAGTCGCCTGGCTGGACGCCATGTTCGGCTAGCTGCTCGATCATAATTTGCTCCGACGAGTTGATGTCCATGTGGCCGTATAGCCGTAACATGATCTTCTGACCCCACATCTGATGTGCTTCGATGGCAAGCTCCATCTGCTTCTTAGCGGCTCGGGGTCGCTCCAGGGACGCTAGTTCTTTCTCCATCTGAATCATGCCGAGCCGGACGATGCCAACATAAGCAATGCGCTGGCCTTCTGTGAGCATCTCCTTGGTGGCTTGCATCTGGGAGAGGGGGTCGCGCGCTTCCTCCTCAATGTCCTCCTCCGGCCCGGTCCCCTGGTTAGTCTTCCCTTTGAAGAGGTAAGCCGTGTTCTCATCCATGGACGTTGTCGACTCTGCATCTTCGTCCAGTTGCACCCGTGTATAGCCTTTTCCGGCCCCTCCTAGATTGTTATATGTGACCTTCTCGTCATCTGATTCGACCATTTCGCGTGCTACGAGTTTGTCATCGTCATTGTACATGTCGAAGGGAGCGTATGCGGGCATATCTTGCCAATCAGCTTCCTCTTGAACCTTCTCCGGCAAGTTGTCTATTTCGGACGGGCGAGGCGGTAGTGAAAGCTGGTGGTGCGACCATTCAGAGAGAACCGGATGAGACCGGCCCGTTGTCTGGTTGCTTGGTGCTAATGAACTGTCGTTCTTAGATACGGTTTTGGCGGTCGTAGGTGAGGACGGAGACTGTTCGGAAGCAATGCTAATTCCTTTAGCCTGCTCTGATATCTCACTGGCTTGTTGCTGGAGCGTAGCATCCGGCTCCTTGCTGCCATTGACGGAGACCTGGTCGGGCTGTATTGAAACCGTCTTCTCGATTTCATCTTCCGTGCCGCTCCGTCCACCTCGTTCCTCCTTCGGGGACTCCGCCTCGGCAACGCCGTTCGTAAGTGCTGCGTCCTGTGCTTTTACCTCCGGTGCCTGTTGTCCTTCCTCGCTGCCAGAGCTGTCCCTCCGCGCCGGTATTGGCCTCCGTTTCCTTACTGGTAGTCCGAATTCATCCACCTCTTGCTTTGCCGGCTCTTGTGGCTGCTCCGCTTGTTTGACTGCCCCATCTTCTTTTACAGTCTCCTTTACTACCTCCGCCCCGTTATTCTCCTCCACAGAAGGAGCTGGGGCGGTGACCGGCCCATTTTCATCCGTCATGATGCCTTCTGAATGTCCCTTCCCATCCAGAGCTCACGCTTAGCTCCTGCGCTCGGTGTCAGCACACCAAGCAGCAGCGCCTCTATTTTATCCAAATTTGGTGGTCGAAGAAACGCCGTCGAAGTTGTGGTCAAGTGGCGAGCGCAAGTTTAGATATCGTAGAAGACGACACATAGGTTGATAGAATATAGAGCGAGTTGCGCGGCTCTGGAAGCGACAGGCAATAAAAGATCGTGGTCTGTAGGGAGGCAAAGAGCGTAGTGATCAGTGATGTAGCGAAGGAAAGCTTTAAGCTGCGCCTCTGTGCCAGCTGTGGGCTGACTGCTCGCACAGTCAGCAGCTCAGCGAGAACGGCCGCTTCGGAGGCTGGCGGGAAACGTTCAGCGGGTGGCTCCGTCGGGCGGTGTGGGCTTAGTGCGCAACGACGTGTACCGTGAAGTGACAAAACTGCTTCAGCCAGACTCTGGAAGTGCGAAGACGAAGCCTGCGGCGGTGGACCTGTGGGGAAGCTGTTTGCACATAACGCACGAGACTCCTCTTCTCCGCAAAGGAAAGGAGCGTGCGCGGGCGTGTCAGATGTCGCTGGGATGGTCGATGATCGCGTTGTTTCAGGGGCCGGCTGCGCGGCCGGGCGTCGTCAGGGCAGGGGTGTGGTTGCTACCCGTTCGTCACCTTTTGTCGCTTCAATCCATTGTTGGGACCACTAGGGCCAGCCAAACGTGGCAATAATATGGGAATGCGGCTAACGTCTATGCGCTTTTCTTCATTGGTCAAAAACATTTTGTTATCTCTCCGTATCGTGGACTTATGCAAGCTTTTCTACGTTAACATCATAAGCCGGGCGGTGCTTAGCTGCAAGGCCTAAAAATAATTTTCCAGAAACTGTGCATCTCGGCTCGACCTACCCCGTCAAAACTCACGAGCTTGGTATGTAAGCATGTATTGGAAGATGCAGAAGTGAGTTTTTGCAGCAGTACATATCACTGTGAAAGATAACATTTATACGGTGTCCAAGCGTAGTTTAATTGTAGTCTGTCTAAATGTTTCCATCGGCAACTGAAACTGGTCGCATCATGATCCGAAAACTTGAACAGGTTTACAACATACTAAAAAAAAAAAAATAACGCTAGTAAAGATGGATGCTGCGGCCCAATGTATTGGAGCTACCTACTTAAATTGAGATTCCCAGCTAAGTCTGAATCAAAATGGGTTTTACGTTCGATTTACCGCTTCTCTATTGCTAGTGCTTTAGGTTCCGAGTACCAGTTAGCTGATCTTGATGAACCCGCAAGTGAGTTGAGATTATCGTAGAAGACGCCTAACACTCCGCACTCACTGCAGGGCAAGGAAAAATGTCTGCTGTTGTGTATACTTCGACATTTTAGTTCGCTGTGTAATTTGCCTGTTCAATTTGTTACTATGTAGCCTCTGCGAATTAGCAGTATCTTGTTGAATCGCCAGTCTGCTTTGCGAGTATTAAGATTTGCTAGAAAATTTACCAATGTAAGGTAGTGCATGCAATTAGAATGTGAACTATATCTGTGATATAAAAATTGAGCCGGTGGTTTATAGTGTAATCCCTACTCAAAAGAATCGGCACGACGACTAATAAATAACTAATCTTCACTACTCTGTGTTGCGGTGTTTCTGGACATTCATCATAAAGGTGATACATATTCGGATTGAAGGTAGCTTATACCTGTGATAATCAATTTTCTATCCCAAACAAAACGTGAATAACTTGAATCTAATCGAGAAGTAGACAACTAAATTTATTCGGAAGAGTGCAGTAAGACGTACTCTAGTACAAATGGTTGAGTGGTTACATTCTAGAAAACTACCACTAAGCTAGTAAAAAGAAGTTCCAACATTTTAATGTACTAAATAGAAAGGTCAAAGCTGCAAAAAATTTTTGTGCAAAACACAAGTCCCGGGCGTGGATCGAACACGCGACCTTAGGATAATAGCAGTAACTGCAATCCCACGCTATACCACTTAGCTACCGAGACAACAACCGTCGACAAATGACAAGTTAGAGGCAATTTTGTGCTCACATTACTTATATACATTATCAATCTTAATAAAAGATTTTATTTGCACTGCTCTTAGCAGCACCCACTGTTGTACTATGTATATTCATGATTCAAGATTTCGCCTACCTAGCCCTAATCCTACGCAGGCGCCAGGGCAGGTGAGTCCATTAGCTTGGTGCACACGTGCGCATCCCAGTGGAACGCTAAGGTTCGGCAGAACCACTCATATTGCAAACAGGACAAACAACCCACCGCCAACTGAACGTGCATCACCAAAAATTTCCAGAGCTTTTCAGCTTTCCCTACTAACTTCAACTTTTTTGCAGCCTCACACACACAGACATTAGGTAGCCATACTCCGATAAGGTTGCCCAAAATGCGTGGCAAGCGCGCAAAGCAGTATCGCAAGATGATGCACCGGTACGGGATTACCTTCGGATTCCGTGAGCCGTACCAAGTCCTTAGTATGGCATTTCCTACCAATCCGAACGGACGCGAGTTGCGACCATAGACTAACTAATTTGGTCAAGTCGACGCGCAAATGATACAAGACACGGCGCGCTTCAAAATGGACCTCGTCCCAGCCTTGGAGCGCACGCTGCAAGGCAAAGTCAAGCCGAGTTCGTCTCCCCTCCGTCCGCAGATGCCTTTCTTCTTCCCCGTCCCAGCTTCCCGCACTAACGCGCCGCTCGGCCCACGCAGTGATAACCCAATGCACGATGCGCCACCTCTACGAGCTCGCCCAGCGAAAGCCAAAGCCGCCGACCAAACGCACCGAGCCCTCCGCCGCACCTCCTCTCGACCCCCAGCCCCTCATCGCCCTGGCCCGCACCTTCGAGCGCCGCCGCTGCAACCACCACACGCTGCCGGCCCCGCTGTCCACCCCGGCCTGCCTGCTCGCCTGCATCGACCCGTCCTCCGCCGGCGCAAACAAGCACCGCTATGTCGTGGCGACGCAGGACGCCGACTTCCGCGCGCAGCTGCGCAACGAGGTGGCCGGAGTCCCGCTTGTGTACGTGAGCAGGAGCGTCATGGTGATGGAGCCGATGGGGAAGCGGACAGTGGATGTAAGGGAGGGAGTGGAGAGGGGGAAGTTGCGGAGAGGCTTTCTAGAAAAGGAGGATGGGAAGAAGAGGAAGAGGGAGGAGGGGGCGGAGGGTATGGAAGGGGGGGAGGACGAGGAGGGCAGCGCGGGGGAGGAGCAGCCGAAGAAGAAGAATAAGGTGAAGGGGCCAAAGGGCCCGAATCCTTTGAGCGTGAAGAAGCCGAAAAAGAGGGAGCAGGGGCCGCAGGAAGGGCAACGGAAAATGAAGATGGCGAAGATGGAGGAGGTTAGAGACGAAAAGGGAGGGGCGGTGGACGAGGGTGCTAGAGCGGAGAGGGAGCAGAGCCAATTGGATGGTACGCGAGTGGAGGAGGGGGAAAAGCGGAAGAGGAAACGAAAGCACAAGTCCAGTAGAGCAATAGCAGAAGCTGTGGAGGCAAACGGTGAAGCACCGGCGACGGTAAATGCGGCCGTAGGGAGATTAGAGGATACCAATGGCGATGTTGCTGTGGAGGCATGACGTACGGATAGCCGGACATGCTATGCATAACTCGGTGTAAGAGCTTTAAAAGCGGGCATTTGAAGGCGTTCATGAGGGTAAAAGTTGTGCTTATGTTAACGATACCACAGCGGAACCGTAAAGGCACTTCGGCTTACACAGACAAACACGTCTAGGAGGGTTATTATACTGCATAACACGCCATCACTTTAATCAGCTTCATCCTTGGCGACATGAAGTAATGTGCAAGCCGAGCTTGCCTTATTTTGAAGATATTATTAGACTTTCTTGCCCTGCGCTAGTAGGTCTGAAACCTTTGGCGGTAGCACCAAGGTGCTCCTGTCGTTGCGTTTAAGAAACTCGACGATAAGTTCTGCCGTGCGCTGGGGTAGATCCTCCTGGACGAAATGGCCCGCGTCGGGAAAGACCTGGAGTTGGAACTTGCCTGGAAAGAGCACGCACGCATAGTGTTAACAGCTCGGGTAGAAATGCCAAATCCCCCACAACAAATAGCAACAGGTGGATACTTACCCTGCATTTGCCCAATCATCAGTTCCTTATCCAGCCTATCCGTCCCCGCCAAAAGCAATAACTTGGCTCCCTTGGCCCTCAGGAACTTCCCACTCATCCCCTCAAACCAATCCCACCAATAACTTTGGGTGCGCTCCAATCCCGTTTTCCACCTCCAGGGCCCGCCATCCCCGCTCGCGTCCTCGTCCTCACCATCGACCTTCACCAACACCCCCGGCACGCTCGCCCTCGCACTCTCCACATTCCGCACCGTCCTACTCCTCACATGCCAGCCCACAGCCTCATCCAAGCTCGCAAAGACCCTCGGCCGCGTAGCCAGGTAGGAATTCATGCTGGCCAGGGCCTCGACGGCGGACCCCTCGACCACGTCCACGACGGCGAAGCCCAGCACAGCGGGCCCCAGGCCGCCGCGCGCACACACGTCCGTCACGACGGCTCCTCCCAGCGAGTGGCCGACCAGCACCGTCGCGGGCATCCTGGCGCCCGAGGGGACGCCCAGCCGGTCCAGCACCAGCGGCACCATGCGCACGAAGTCGGCGGCCAAGTTGCGCAGCGAGAGGTCGGTGTCGCGCTCGGGGCCGGGGCCCCCACCGCGGCGGCCATCGCCGCCGTTGTCGGCGTCCGGCGCGTACACGACGGAGCCGTGCTCGCGGGCGTCGACGGCGACGATGCCCACGTCCGGCATGACGCGCCGGACCTCGCGCGCGAAGAGGGCGAAGGTCAGCGCCGAGGAGCCGGCGCCGTGGTGCAGGATGAGCAGCTGTGACGAGGGCGTCGCGGGCGGGGTCGCGTAGGCGTGGTACTTGGCGCGCTGGGTGAGGCCCGTCTGGTGTGGTGCTTCTGCGGGCGCCGCGGCGCCGGACTGTGGTCGCGGGGGCGCCGCCATGGACCCGGCGCCGGCGCCGGCGCTGCTTTCGCCGCCATTGTCGTTGCTGCCGCCGGGCGGTGCGGGCGCCGGCGCGGCGAACGTCGTCTCGATCCAGAGCTCCTGCGCGAAGAAGTCGGACCAGCGGACGGGCGCGGCGGGCTTCTGGCTCGATGAGGGGCGCACGGTGCCCGTGGACGACATGGAGGAGGCGGAGCTGGAGTCTTCGTCGATAGGGGACGTGGCTTCTTGGGAGGTGCTCGGGATGGCGGCGTGCGTAGGAGGCGAGGAGGGCAAGGCGTTGAGCTTCGCTTTTGCGAATTGGCGCGCGAGATCCGACATGGTGGGGAAGGATTTTCTGAGGCGGGGTGTTCAAAGGGAACTTCTAGTATGTGTGGGGGACCGGGCCCTTAGGAGAACCCGGGATTCGAGCCAGCTTACTATGGGGAGTGGGCTCTCGAGAGCAGCACGACCGGGTCGCGCGCCTGTTGCCTATTCCGGAAGCGTGTAGCAGGCGCGGAGATAGAGTAGCGTGGTGGGGCAGCGGTGAAGTGAGGGAAAAATAAATAGGCCTATGGCCGATGACAGGAAAGTCGCCGTCTCATCAATGCTTTCGGGAATGAAATTGATTCGGCTCTCAGCTTGCGTACAATCATCCAATGGGACGGATTTGGAAAATGGACAATAAGCCTAGCTCTTCGGCTTCTGGGGCGTGAGAGCCATGCTTGGCGGCTGCTGACAAGCCCGGCAGAGCCCCGCGTGCACGTGCTGCCGGGGCGCTGCTCCAAGCTTCGCGGCCCGTGCGCTGTCTTGCATGGATGACGTCGATCCGCCCGCGAGCTTGGAGCTGTGCCGGACAAGGCGTCGTCACCCGAGCCATTCATGTGCCGCCGCCGCCCCGCCACCCCTGCCTTGCCCTTCCTCGCAATCCTGTCGTCACGATAGAATTCCTCGCGCGATTCGCCTCCGAGCAATTCCTCATCACAACTGGGGCTCCCAGGCCTTTCCCAGCTCGCGGTCGTTCCCATTGCTTTGCCTCCGACTGCTTGCCCCACTTCCCTCTCTGCAGAGAGGGAGCTCTCCCCTTATTCTCCCTCCGACGCTCCGCTCCTTTCGATTGCGCGCCAGTCGTGCTGAACAGGGGCAGTTAGAGCAAGCCTCCAAATCAATCCATCACAATGGCTTGGTGGGGATCCAAGAAGCGTGACGATGATGCCGACGAAGCCCCCGACGCCGGTGAGAGCACCTCCACCAGCCGGCCGTCCTCTCGACGCAACCCTAACGGCGAACCAGACGAGCGCACGCGCCTTCTCGCGCCGCGCCCGCCCCGCGAGGACGGTTATCTGGACCCCGACGACCCAGCCGTACGACATCCATCCCCATCCGTCTCCTCTCTCCTCCCCGCTCACTAACCAATGTCTTCTCATACAGGTCTCCCCCTACAACCTCTGGACGGTCCGCTTCCTCCGCTATGTGACAACTCTCTTCCTCGCCTTCAGCTTTGTCTGGTGGGTCCTCCTGCTCGTAACCGTCTTCGTCACCCCCCCCGGCATGCACACGCGTGGCTCCGGCTTCACCGACTTCGCCTACACGTGCCTGACATGCGGCAACCTGCTGGTGCTGCTCCTCTTCTTCGCCGCCCCCTCGCGCGCCATGCGCGTCCTCGCCGCCGTCATCGCCTTTTTCCTGCTTGTCGACACAATCGTGATCCTGGCCGTGGGCCGGCTGCGCGACGAGGAAGGCGCTGTCGGCATAGCGAGTGTGGTCTGGTGCACGTTGATGGCGGTGTGGGTCGTGATCGTGGACCGAGCCGTGGCGTGGGGGAAGCGGGAGGAGGAGGAGCGCCTCACCGGGCGGCCCGAGACGAGGCGCTCCCTGCGCGAGTGGCTCGCCGTGCTGGTCGCCACCGTCATCCAGGTGGTCTACATTGTCATCGTCGTTCTCATGACGGCGACAATGATCCTCCGCGCGCGCGACGCTAGCCTCGGCCCGCCGGGCGAGCGCTACTACGTCGACGGCGGCAAGTACGCCGTGCA